TCTGCAGGCCCAGCATTCGACCTTTGAATCCCACCAGGGTCCTAACACTGATGCCACAGGGCAAGCGCCACGCTCCAGTTTTTACAGTTGCCAACCCTGAACCCTAAATAGAGAGCATAATTCCTTTGCACAGAGGTTTAGGAGTCTGGTCTCCCTTCCTGCTCGTTATGCCTCTCCCTGTACTGGGCCTGCCTCCACCTCACTGCCTCCAAAGCTGCACTTCCTGCCTCTCTGTGAAGGCCAACACGAATGCCACATGGTGTCGGTGGTGGAGTGGTGGCAACTGCAGCTGTACCTTGTGATTCTGGTAGGAGGTCACGGAGATGAAGGACGTCTCTGGAAACACGTGGGTGCAGAAAGCTGTGTTTTTGGAGCCAAACGCGTTGTTCTCATCAGCCTTCACAATGTGTAGCCGCGGCTGGTACTTGTGCATGGAGTTGAGGATGATCTGGAAGACAAGGGTCTCATTCTGAGCTCCAGGTCCCCACCCACTGGCCCTTGGCCTCTTCAGCTGGCCCTGGACTGGCTTTCATCTCCTAAAAGCCCAGGTCCCAGCGCCTGACTACAGGACTGAGCCCAGAAAGGTCCTAAAGTTCCCACGTGAAGAACGAGGCCCCTGGGCTCCTACTTGGCCTCTGTGCTCCAGCACCTATGCCTGGTCCCAGGACTTCCCTATGTTAGATGGCTTCACTGTGGCAACCAAGAACTTAGCAGTTTAAAGTCCCCAGGGAACTCAGCAGTATAGTAGGTGGAATTCTGAGTTATAGACAAAAGTCCAGGTTGCCACTGTCTCACTGTCTGACCTCAGACAAGTAACTGGACGTCTCTGAGCACCAGTTTTCATATCTGTAAAATGGGATCATAATGCATAACTTACCTCCTTCAAATGTTCCCCTATAGGCTGACTCTTCCCCTTGCTTCTCCTTCTTTTCTCCTGCCTCTTCGCCTCCCTGCCCCCTCCCTCCCTCCCTCCCACTTATGTGTGACCAGCCTTTCCCAGTAATGCTCACTGTCGGGGCTCAGCCCCCTCCTCACATTTGTCAGCAACAAAAGCAACTTCCCAGCCCAGGAGTCTGTGGAATGGGGGAGGGAGGGAGCTGAAGAGAATGTTGCACTCTGACCTTTGTCATCTAGTGACTCCTTTGTTCATTCATTCTCAGCCTTCACAGAGGCCTGCTGGGGGTAGTTGGGAGACTCAGCTGTATCCTATCCTGAGACCTGCCTGAGGCTGCTCACAGCTTAGAGGGAAGCTCCATCCCAGGCTTGGTACCAAGGTAGGAGACAAACAAAGTTCCTAAAATAAGCCAGAGGAGGCCAGGGGCCCGAGGTGCCTGGGGCTGGGGCGGTGGGTCACCCTCATGGCCAAAGCTTATGAAAGAGACTAGGAGGCGTGGCCCTGGTGCTCGGGAGTAACACACAGTAGTGGCTGCTCAAAACCTGCTTCGTTGGACTGCGCCCCACGGTAGCGGCTGCATCATGTGCCATTAAAATGTATTTTTTTATCGTTGACATTTGCCAGACACACTCCCCATTGGAGGCAAGACCAGGAATTTGGGGCATTTTATCAGCACTGCTGCTTTTGTTAACCCTTTGGCTCCTGTCTGGCTGGGCTAAGCTGGCCCTGGGTCCCAGTTCCCTTTCCTTTCTCTCCTTTCTCCCCACCTGGTGCTGAAGCTTAGTGAAAGGTTTCAGGTCTGAGTGACCAGAGCCTGGAGCAGGGCAGGGCCAGGCTCTCCCATGGAAAGCGGGCAGAAGCCTTAGTCTGGGGAGGCCCTGCTCGGACCACACCCCAGGGACGGGGACAGCCCAGAGCACAGGTGAGTTGAGGAGGTAGTTGGCCAGGAGCTGGGCTGTGGGCTCTGGCTCTCCCTGGGTTCCTTGGTTTTGGCTGAGCAGCTCCGTCCAGCAGGAACTAGCTTTTCTGCCTCCTGCACCAGCCACTACCCCTTAGCCCTCAGGGACAGAGCTTCCCAAGCCCCAAACTAGGTCCTGCAGATGGAGACCCGCTTCCCAACTGGGCCTGCCAGACAAGAAACACAGAGACTAACAACAGGCGGGAGTGGGGTGGGGCTTGATGGACACCCCTTTCCAGGGAAAGGTCCACTGGGGAGAGGAGCTGGGTCTTGGGAAACACCTCCCAGTCCATTAGTTCCTCTCTCACCCTGCACTATTCCCTCAAGCTGCAGGAGCTAACAAAGGAACTAAGTTCCCACAAGACCCAGCAACTGAATCCCTGGGAGGTGGTCTAGATGCCCCTAGGAATCCCTAGATACCTACCTCTGCATCTTTGCACATGCAGTTCCCTGTGCTGTTTTTATCTTCTTTTCCCATTCTCTCTCACCTTCTAGGCCTAGCAACTCCTCCAGAAAGCCTTCCTAGATTACTAGGGCCTACTCTGAACTCCCAGTACTGAAACTTCCCATCTATTTTCCCCGTGGCTGTGGTACTCCTTCCTCCTGACTTCCTATTTCTTCTTGTCCCTTCAATTGAACTAAAAACTCCTCAAGAAAAGGGGCCGTATCTTTATTCCTTTTGTACTTTCCCCCAAAACAGGAACTAGTAAGTATAAGGCAGGGTTACAGGCATGGGAGACCTGGGTCATGGTCACAAACTCTCTACCCACTCTTCTCTTATCTCTCTTTGTTCACTACAGACAAGCTGGCCTCTAAGGCATTTTTCAAGTCAAAAATGGTGATTAAACGTATGCATAGACAATCTTTCTGTGAGCACGCACATGCTCCTCGGCAACAGGACCACCCCTGGTCCCTCGGCTCTCCTGGGGAGGGGGCACAAGGGGAGGACACAGGCCCCTGCACATGAGGCTGTGCTGTCCCCTCGGGACACCTCAGGACCCATGGCAGCAGTCACAGGCTGTAACCATCAGCCCCCTTTTCCTCACGGTCCCCCTCCTCCAGGTCCAGTCAGTGGGGACCAAGTCCTGTGACTCCGGCTGTAAAACGGAATCCTCCCCTTTCCCGCTGCGCAGCCCTGGTTCAGGCCCCACCGTCTCTCACAGGGTTTAGGGACCGCCTCCTCCCGGTCGCCATCTACTTCTCTCCATTTCACCTGGGACACATCCTGTCAGGCCACTCCCCTGCTCAGAACCTGATGGCCATTCCAAGAAGACCGTCCGTTGTTTGAGAGCATGGCCCTTTGTATTTCCTCCTCTTGCCTCCATGTTCCCACCACCTCACTCCTGCGAGCACTTAGTCATAATGTCACCTTCTAGTCATAATGTCACCTTTGATGGTTCCCTCTTGCCCCTTGGGATAAATGCCAAACTCCGTAGCCCATCGGACAAAGTCCTGGATTGTCAAACACACCTTCTAGGGAAGGGAACCAGACAGGCTGGCAGGGGAACTGGGAAGAGAGAAATAGCCAGACCTGCAGGGGCAGGTAGACGCCAGTAGGGGTGTGCAATCCCAGCCTCAGAGAAGTGAAGAAGGGCCTGGAAGCTTCTATGGACCCCTGCTCACCAGCTGCAAGTCCTGAGCAAAGCTCTTCCCCTCTAGTCGTTGGGGTCCCCATCTATAAAGTGAGGCCTTCCACTAAGTGGTCCCAAATACCCTCCTGACTCTGACAGTCTGGAACCTGGACAGGTGTCTGGAAGGAAGTCCCACCCATGGAACCAACACAAATATAAATTGGAGCCTCAGTCCCATCAGCCGGAGAGAATGTGAGACCAACGCGGTGACTCACACACCTGGCTTCACTCGGAAGTTCCTCAGGCGTCACATTGAACTACTTTGCCAGAGTCTCACATTTATATTTGTTGCCGAGGATAATGGGCCAAATGGGCCAGCCACGTCAACAAAGCCCACTACACGGCTGGTCTCGTCATCATCTCTGTTTTATGGAAATGGGATTCATTATGTCCTGGCTACGATTCAGAGGCCTGTTCTATTTTAACAACTGTGATAGCGCCAAACATCCATCTTCTCAAGAGATCACCGTAACATGCTCGGCCAGTGGGGCCCAGAATTATCTACGTTAGAAACACAGAACATTAGGGCGCGGGGAGGCAGACCTGGGATCTTTCGAGTCCAACCTCCTCGTTTTGCAGATGAGCACCAGGAGGCCTGTCGTGGGGGTGGGACTTGCCCAAGGACACCCGACGGATCCTGAGAAGAATCCAGATAGCCTCTGAGACAGTACACGCTGCTCTCGGCAAGCTCAGTCATTGCAATGGACCCTTGAGCAACACGGCACGAACTGCGTGGATCCACTTATACGCGGATTATTTTTCAATTGACTCATGTGGTTCAAACGGTATTGTTCAAGGGTCAACTCCAAGGTTGGGAATTGCTCTTGGGGCAGTAATCAGGGGCCCAGAAACTGCAATAATAGCCAATGTTCACTGAGCATATCCTGAGTGCCAGGCCTTGGGCTGAGTATCCTACACACATCATATAATTCATCTTTATAATCCCTGTAAAGTAGGCATTATTATCAGCCTCATTTTAACAGAGGCTCAGCTCAGGGAGGTGAAGGCATTTGCCCAACCTCAGACAGCTGATGGCAGACAGGCCAGAATTGGTGCTATTTCCAAGCCTGAACCTGTACCTGTGCCTGGCTGGTGAAGGCCAAGCCTGATCTGGAGTTGTATGGGGCATCCATCTATATGTCCCAAAGCCCCCAGCAAGGGCTCATCACATTGTCAGGGCTCAGCAAATAGGGGAGGAAAAGGACAGCAATAGCTCTGGGCCCCCACTGGCAAGTTAACAGCCTAAGCCAGTGATGGCGAACCTATGACACGCGTGTCAGAGGTGACACGCAAACTCATTTTTTTGGTTGATTTTTCTTTGTTAAATGGCATTTAAATATATAAAATAAGTATCAAAAATATAAGTCTTTGTTTTACTATGGTTGCAAATATCAAAAAATTTCTATATGTGACACGGCACTAGAGTTAAGTTAGGGTTTTTCAAAATGCTGACACGCTGAGCTCAAAAGGTTCACCATCACTGGCCTAAGCTTTGGGGGGACACCAGCCCCTGGTGGAGGAAGTGTCTTCTCTGTCTAAATAGCACCCCCTTCAGTGGGTCCACTCATTCACTTCCTGCTGACCAGCACCCACCTTTTGCCAGACACAGTTTCAGGCACTAGGACATCATGGTGATTAAAAACCTCATTGTTTCCTGTCTAGTGGGCAGTCACACAGTCATCCAAAATCAAGCAGAAACTGGAAGAAAGTGGTGAGAAAATGCAGTGGAAGAAAGTTCGCATTGATAATAGTAACAAGATGAAATACAGAACGAGAAGGGTCTAGGACTTTAGGAAGAAAATGTGAATACACTTTTGGAGGACAAAAAAGCAGGCTCCAACAAAGAGAAAGGCATTCCTACCAATGTCCCTAAGTAAATTTATCATTTATAGTGATTCTCATAAAAATATAAGGAAAAGGGGAGGCCAAAGGAGGTAAATATATGGTGACAAAAAGAAAGTAGA